ACCAAGATATATCATGTAAAGGTGCAAATTTCCAATGACAAATGTCATTATATTGTATACCTAAAATGTACCGATAAAATGAATTTTAAAAATATCAGAAGATAGAAGTCTAATGGATATATTTCACATAAAATGGACATACAAGGCAAAGACGTGCGGAGGGGATATTAATTTGCTAGGGCCCTCCGAATTACTGCAGGCTCAGTGGCTTAAACAACAGACGTCAGTTTTTGCACAGTTCTAGAGGCTAGACGCTCAAAATTAAGGTGTTGGCAGTTTGGTTTCTTTTAAGGCTCTTTTCCAGGGTCTGCAGGTGCCTGTTTTCTTCCTGCATCTTCCTGTGGCCTTCTATGTGTCTTCACCTTAATCTCCTCCTACAAAGATACTAGTCACATCAGTTGGGAATCCAGTCTAAAGACTTCAGTTTGTCTTAACCACTTCTTTCAAAGTCATAGTCTGAGGTTAGGACTCTGATAACTGAGTTCTTTGGGGTCGGGGAGGGAGAAGTGACATAATTCAGCCTGTAATGAAACCTAATATTTGTAGTTTTTTAAAATATAAGCTACCTTTCCTTCTCTGAAAATCTTATAATTAGATGATGGCATGTCTCGTTAATATTCAAGGTCTAAAAGATGTATCAGAAATGTGCAGATGACAGGAAAGAACCCTAGTTTTGAGGGTAAGAGGACATGGGCTCTACACATTAATCATCCACTTATAGGCACACTTGATTTCTCTGGATCTTTGTGTCTTTATCTGTTTAAAAAAATGTGAATATTACATACAATGATGAATATAAAAGTGCTTGATAAGTGCTAAACTTTTTTGTCAAATGTAAGTCACCATCAATTATAAGATGCACCATTATGTTATATTCACCAAAAAAAAGGGCAAAATCATGCCAGGAGAAATTTTTAAATTATATATTCAGGAACTCTATCCCAGATTCATTGAATCTGAATTTCTTGGAATAAAGCTCAGGGATCTGGATTTTTTTAAATTTCCCACATCGTTCTGATGCACTGAAGGGAGAAGCTCAGAAGCAGTGGCTTCTGTTAATGTCCTGAGCAATCCAGAGTTTGATTCTTATCTGTGATTGTTGGAGTTACCAGTTTCTTCGTTAGTCTATAGGAAACCTAGATTTCGGATTTTTGCCATTAAAAAAACCCATTCCCCAAATTCTTTACATTTCCTGACACATTCGTGGAATTCCAGAAACTCTTGTTCAGGAGTCTCACAACATAAATACTTTGTAGAACATGTAAACCAAAATGTTCCTGTGTAGGGAATGCTGTGGCATGTGCTCCCTCAGTAGCGAGCTTCCTGACACCTTTCCCGGGCTATATAACCCCAGGGTGACAAGCCCACTTCTGTCATTCTGTGCTTTATGATTCTAAATAACAAACTATTAGCTCCTTGTATACATCTTCAACCATTTTGGGCCAGAAGTTTTTAAAACTAGTGGAATTCTTTCAAACATTGTTTCTCTGAATATCTATGGTTGAATTCTGAATAGTGGTAGCACTGCTATGACCACAGAGAAAGCAAGTGTCAAGACTGTGAGGTCTGCTCTGGACTCCCAGTCTCTCTTTCCAGGTTAGGAACCCACCTCATCACCTTCACTGCAAGACCATTCCACTGGCCCCACACCCACACTTAGACACTCCAAGAACTCAACAGACCCAACCCTCTAGTTCTGCAGGTGAATAGACTCATGTAATTCCTGCTTCTCAAGAAAACAGGTGACTTGTCTAAGATCACATACAAGTTAGGCTACAGCCACTGAGTTGAGTTCTCCAGGTCGCAGGCCAATGTCCCTTACCTTCCTCCCACAGCCCCTGATCTGTCAATGACACTTAGGGAGTGTTCACCAAAAACACCGGACAATGTCACAGATGCAGCCCAGCCCGTTGGGAAACTGCCCTGCATCACGTCCAGACCCATGACTGAGCCACACAGGTGCTGTCATACAGTCTTCATCTGAGCCTGGCGGACACCCAGGGAAGCATTCATATCGGATCTGCTGTATATTGGCAGGACTTTGGCATGGAACATATTTCAAATGCCTCCCATTGAATATTGGCAGCCTTGGAAAAACATGGCTAGGAAATTATTCCAAGAGGCCTGATTGCTCTATGACACTTTACAAGGGGAAGCTGATAGCGTTCTCTCCCAAGTTCTTCCCCTTGTGCCCACAATCAGAACAAATGACAGCATTTCCCAGTGTATGCCCTGAACTAGGGGAGGGGGAACTCAGCCTGGGCACAAATCTAGTGAATGTCTACTGGGCAGGGCCCGCTGCACAGTGCTACATTCGTTTTGCCAAGTTCTTTCTTCTTCAGTTTTGAAAAGCCTAGTACATTCCAAGAGAAATGTAGTCCATGTGTTTCTGATTCACTTACACTTAAATCATTAAAATGTTGTTTTGTGAGACGTATTTGATGTCAGAAGAGCGTTTTAAATGGGGATTTTAAAGGCTTTTTCTCTTACCCTGCCTGAAACAGAAAGCAACATTTTGCTGAAACGATGCCTGAGTTCAGACATACTTTCTCATCTCACACACTTGCACCTGCATTACTGCCCATGCTGACCCTTTGAAAGTGTTAAACGGAGGAATTGGAGAGAAAAGGCGGCAAAAAGGGCTCCCCCAAATGTGCCAAAGGAGTGCTATCAGAGGGTGAAGAGTGCATGTGTTGCCACCTTGGTTCAAGGGACAGGCAGCCCACAGGGCAACTAGATAAAGCACTTTCCCACATATAATCTCATGTAAGCTTCAAAACAACCTCCATTTCCCAAATGAGGAAACAGAATCAGGAAAGTATTGTGTCCAAGAGTGAACAGCCAGCTTGAGAAGAAAGAAAACAGTACAGCTAAGCTCTGAACCTGAGGCATTTTTCAAGACGATTGTTTCCTCATGAATGGTGTGTGTGTGTGTGTGTGTGTGTGCTTCTATATGCACTATAATAGATTAGCAAGAGGTGGGGTCACATAGTACATAAGAGCTCAAATTCTTCCTCACTTTCTAACTGTGTGACCCTGAGTAAGTTACTTAAACTATCCTAGAAATTTCCTCATCTGGAAAATGGGCATATTACTACCTACCTGTACTGGACAGAACGATGATTGGAAAGGACTCATGCTAAGTGTGCTTAGCACAATGCCTACCCCAAGGAACTGCTGGGTGTGAGTGGGAGGATCAGTAGGAAGTGATAAACAAATAGCTGGATAGTTTTGGTGAATTATTTCATCTCTCTGAGCCTCAAGGTTCTCACTGTACCAGGAGTATAACAGTACGACCCTTGTGAGTTTGTGTAAGTAATGCAAATGACATCTGTGCCTAGCACTGGGTCTGACTCAGAAAAGATGCTCTGCAAAGCATATTTTTACACCCAGACAGTTTGTCCCTCTTCCATGTGGGTCATCATGGTGGGGGCAGGTATTATTGTGGAGGGAGCTATTACTTTGCTAGAGATCTCACCCTATTCTGTGTTGATTGTCATTTCTGTGATGGGGGCTTGGGGGAGTGTCTCTCCCTACTCAGTGTTATCATTATTTGCATGGAGGGAGTGCTCCTTAAAATTCAGCTCAGCCTAGGCTCCATGTAGCATCCCTCCAATAAACCATGGGCATAGAGGAGCACATGGGTTCAGGTCCTTCTGCACTTAAGGGGCAGCAGGCTTTCTGGCTGGTGCCAGCCCCTTCTGGGCCAAGTTGGAGTCCTTCCACCCTGAGCTAGTAAACAGAGCCACAAGTATTGCTTTTGAGTGAAGAGGAACAACCAACCAACAGCAGAACTTGGTGCACCGTCACTGTCCATCCTGGCCAGTGACTCTGTTCACAAGTTGTTTGCAGACAGACTGCGGCTTTGGAATTTGCATGTTTTATTCCCTTCCAGTATAGACACTGAAGTTGCCTTATTATGTGGCTGTTTCTTTTCATTGGTATTCTTTTGCTGGTGTCCGGAGGAAAGGCAAAAATTATAGACATTAGGTAAGGGAGGCTGAAGAGAAATTAGCCTCTGTCCCTCTCCACTCTTTCTTAGGGAGAGGGGGGAGGAGAAATACCTATGTGAGCGCCTCTCAGTTATTATCTCTCAAGGGCAGGAGTCAGCCAGAGGGGGTAAAGCGGGGGGGGAGCGGAGCTTTTAAGGAAGAAGAGAGATTCTGTTCTGCCAGGTCCTTCTGAGTGTGTCAGAGCAGTGAGAGGAGAGACAGAGAGAGAGAGAGAGAGAGAGAGAGAGAGAGAGAGAGAGGAGAGAGAGAGAGAGAGAGAGAGGAGCCAGAGGGAGAGGAGAGGGGAGAGGAGATCTGGTGCAGGCAGAGGAAGGCGTGACCTGAATGGAGAACGCCAGCCAATTCCAGAGACACACAGGGACTTCAGAACAAAGATAAGGCATCGCTGACACCACACCGGGGACGAAGGCCAGGAGCTCGCAGGGCAGGACCATGAGGTGAGTGCCAGGGCAGGAGAGGGCACGGCGCCCTTTCGTAGACCAGTTGTCCACCAGTGGAGAGAATCTGACCTTGTGTCCTGGCAGACTCACCTGCGTGTCTTGTGGGAGGCTGGGGTATTTCTTGGCAACCCTTGGGGCTGTTCGAAGGGAGCTGTGGCCGTGCTGGGTGTCTTTCCTGGGACTCCGCAGATGTGCAACTTGAAACAGGAGAGTTTGTGCAAATTCTGCTTAGGACGCTGCTGAAGCTTGGATTTCGCCCTCTGCCAGGACAGGGTGCTGCCTGCTGGCCAATGTGGCTCTCCTCCTGGTGCCCACAAGCCTGGTTTTTCATTTTCCCCTCTGCAAAGAGCTTTGATTTCTCTCTCCAGACACTTTGAGAGTTAGATGTGTGTTTGTGTGTTTATTTATTCTGACCGAAGAAAGAAACCAGCTTTCCACCGTCCAGCTTTGTGGTTTCTTAAACCTTCAGAAGTTTGCCAGTTTAATCTCAATTTAGAAAACTAAAAACCTGTCCGCATTTTATAGTTCCCTATAGATTTCTGCATGTCTTCCTGAAATCAGAGGCAGCTGGTGACACAATCAAGCTATGAATTGTACCAAATGGCTCTTAAAGGGACACCACCACAATTTTGTTAAAGGAGCATTTGGAGTTTTGTGACCCAAGACTTTAAATTCCACTTGGTTTGAAGTGCCTCAGATATTCTTTATAAGGTTTTTTTCTGCAGGTCTGAAAACTGAACCACCCTAATGATGTCTATTACATGTACGTGTTACTATCATAGACACATCACAAAGTAGGGGAAAGAACCTCACAGATCTGTTGTCTGGTACACCTCTTTTCCTAGTATTTTTTTCTTTAAATTGAGAGTGCTCATATGTGTTTTGTTTCTGTAAAGTCACTTAGCAACTTTGCTGAGATGGGAACTAATACAAGGCTTCAGGTGATCTATCTCTCTGAATTCCAATCACCTGTGCTTCAGAGAGATGATCGAATCTTTTAATGTAACTCAGGCTTTCAGTTATTTTAAACTGATCATCAACCTTCATTTTCTTTTCCCTGAGAAAAATGGCCCTTATGCCCACCTACATAAATGATAGCTGGATTTACCTGTAAAGGATCAGACTCTCACCATATCACTCAATGTGCCAGCCAGCCAAACTACAGGGCTCACAATCCTATGTCTTTGCATATGTTTATCCTTTGACCTAAAACAACCCTTTTTTCCACCTAGACCTGATTATGCCAGCCACTTCCAATACACTTCCTTTTCCCCTGCTTTCCATCCTCTGGAGGTAGCATCTCCTCCTTTGTTCTGCTCTGTCCTTTGAAGCTACATCCTTTATTGTCTTCAGAGCACATCTTTATTTAAGTATCCACCTTAATCAATGTGTTCATCTTGTAATACCAGTCACTAACATAATGTCTATTTCCTGCTAGACATTTAGTAAATACTGTTTTAATTGTTGAATAGTAAAGCAAGTGCTACACTCAAAAACTCTCTAAAAGGTCTTGCCTCACATGCATACATCACTTCAGAGTTTAGAAAGCAATTTTATGGGCATTGTCTCATCTAGCCTTCAGATTTTGGATGAAGTTAATTTTTGATGGATAAGTGAGGATAAAACATGTTAAGCAACTTGCCCAAAGCCATACTGATGGATTTGAGTCTTTGGACTCCAAAGCCGGCATCTTTGCTATATTTCACTATTCTCAATCCTAGCTGCACATCAGCTGTTGAACTGTAGTAATTTAAAAAATGCCAAGGCCCACGCCTCACCCCAGACCAGTTAAACCCAAATCTCTCGAAGAGGGGCTCACACACTAGTATTTTTTAAATTTCCACATAAAACCATGGCTTTTAAAATTATTTTTCACAGGATTAATTGCTTTGGCCAGATGCCTGGGCATGATATGGGCATGGACCCAACTTCTTCTGTGAGCTTTTGTTAGCCTCTTTTTCTGTTGAAGTTACTTCACCATATGGCATTGGGCATAATGTGACATCTCTCGGGGTATCTTTTCATCATCTGTCAAGTGAGGGTGGTGTGTAAGGAAGCTAGAGAGTCCCTTCCAACTCTTAGACTGAAAAACAACGTCTCCGTGTTGTGTGAGTTGAAATGAGGGAAGTGAATGGGGATGCTAGAAATCGCTATTCATTCTAAAATCGTATGAGATCCACAGGCATCTGATGCATCTTTATGCATAGACTCCTACAGTGGAGCCTCTGAAATCCCAGCTCTATATATTACTCTGACATTTCGACAAATCTAGCTAAACTTTTTGATTAGCTGGAAGATAGATAACAGGTGTCAGGAATTGTACAGCCGGTGCCTGGTGCCTGGTGTGTAAGAAGCCAAAAACACTCAGAGCATGATGTGGAATGAAAGCTGCCACTTATATTCTTCGATTTACAGCCCCTAAAACAAGGAAGCAAGCAAGCATATGCTCAGGCTCATTATGTGAAAGGAGATATTTGGTTCATATGTTTGAAAGTGTTTCAAGATGCAAACAGGGAAGAATAGAAAGCTTCACAGTCCTTCTTCCAACACTGACCAGTTGTTGCCCACTACACATGGCACTGGGCCTCTAGGCTAGATGGACCAGTCAGCTGCCAGCCCTTGATAGGCTCAGAGTCTCCCCACTTGGTCTGGAAAAAGCAGACATGGAGAAAGTTGACCTTTCAGCCTTACATAATCTTGTTGTCTCTGTTGCAGGGAGTCCATGCAGAGAGTCAAAGCTCACTCCTAACTCCTGCTTTTCGGGAAGCAGCAGGATGGAGTAATCACAAATAATGTTTGCCTAGAGCTGGACATTTAACAAAGTACTTTCTAATGCTCCTGTGGGTGGCAACCCTGTGGGAAGTCATTACTGTTACCATACAAGAGATGAGGAAACAAATGGAGGCTTTCCATGGCTTCTCTGAAACGATAGGATAAATAAAGTCAAGGCCGCTAGTTGAACCTGCTCTCCACTCTTCAGCCTGGCTGAACCTGAACTCCTAGCCCCATTAACATATTGCATTTCTTCACTTGGAAATGGGAGTGTCTGGGCCCCATGAGTCAGAGCCTCTGGACTCAGTTTTTCTACTAACTCCCTGGATAACTTGGACCCATGCCTTCCCTTCTCTTTGCCTCTGAAGACTTCCTTCACAGATTGGCTTAAAAAATAGTGACACTGGCTATTGGATTAAAACATTTTGTTTTCTTAACAACATCCCACATGTTGCTATTGTAGGGGCCCTGGAAAAAATTTAAATAAGTTTATTTTCTTTTTATTGAAAAAATACTTCATGGTCTTTCTAGACGAATGTAAGCATTTTATGTACACAAAACTAAAAATATTCATTCCCATTTCATAGACAACCACCGTTAACACCATGGTGTATGTCTTTCTAGATCTCTTTATACTTATCTATTTACCTTTTATGTGAATGATACAAGAAATCACTGAATAATCTATGCATACAGCTATTCTGCTGTGTTTATACACTCAAAAATTCATATGTAAGCATATATACATAAATATACATTTGAATACATGGGAGAAGATATTGGCAGGGGAACAGCTTTCTGATTAGCAAAAATATAACTGTTAATCCAAAAATGCTAGCGTGGCTTCCCACCATTGACTTTTTATGCTATTTAAGACTCAAGCCCCACTTTCTTTTATTCATTCATTCATTCATGCATGCATTCATAATCTATTAGACACTAGTCTCTCTGCTACATCCTTTACATACGTAGTATCTGATGTTCGCATGACCCTTGTAAATTATGGATTATAATTTCCATTTTATATATGAGGAGACTGAAGCTCAAAGAACCTAGTTGCCTAACTTTTCACAGCCCTAAGTGGAAGAATTGGATTTGAACCCAAATACATTCAACTTCAAGGCTGAGCCTAATGCAGTACAGTGTGATAGCTGCTCTAACAGAGATGTGTACAGGGAGCTGTGGAATCTGGAGGGATGAGTGTATACTTCATAGCCCAGGGAGCTTTGAGCTGGACAGGGAAGGATAAATAAGACACCAGTAGGTGAAGGATGGGCTCATGGGCAATGGTGCCAAGTCATGGGAGGGGGTGGCATGGCTGGCACTGAGAGGGACTTGGACAGACAGATCAACACCAGCCACATCAGCCATAAAGGGAGCAGACATTTCCCCTGCAGCTATGGCACAGTCAAGCAACATGGTCATATCTGTGTTTTAGAAGACTCACCTTGGCAGAAGATTGCTGAGTGATATAACGGGGAAGGGGAAAGTTATGTTGCTATAGCAATATTCTAGATCAGATAGTTTAAACTAAGTACTTGACTGGAGAGGAGATAGATTTCCAGAACCAAGGAAGTAGAATCAATAGGACTTGGTGACTATTACACAAGGTATAATAGGAAAAGGGAATGGTAAAGTTAGCAAACTGATAGATGGTAAAACCATTTTTAAAAATCAGAAATGAGATCATGAACTTATTGGAAGAGAAGTTGATGAGCCAAGTTTGAGATGTTTGAGCCCATGGTCTTATAGGGGAAGTGATGCATTAGACAGATCCCTGGTGTGCAGCTGTTACTGACCATTGGGGCTTTGACCAGCCTTGATGGTTGTGCCTCATTATTCCATCATCCATATTTGCTGCATTCTGTAAGTTTTACTAAGTTTCCCTTGCAATCTTTTGCAACTGTTTTAACAATCCATTATCCTTCATTTCTCTAGAAATGAATTACAGGCTTTTGACCCTCATATTAAGACACTTGCCAAGAGAAAGAAGATTTGTTTTGCTCATTCTGTCTTTATTCAAAATTTCACATGCCTTGACTGATGTTGTGGTGAAATACTTTCTTCAACATGTTAAATTTGCTTGAGGTTGGAAGATCCTATCACTGAGTATTAAGCTTATCCCAATTATACCATATTATTATTACTCATATTTTAGAAAAATGCATGATTTATGATTCATAAATGAAGCTGAACTGAAGAAATGGTACCAGATTTTACCTAATTATGAAACTTCTATTTTCAATAGTAAAGTAAAATATGTCAGAGTCCCAGATGTGGTACTTTCTGGAAAAGTTTAAAACTCTTAGCAAATTTTCAAATGACCAAACCTGGAAAAAAATCTTATGAATCATACAGTTACTTCCTCTCAGGTTACAGATTAGGTAGGCAAGGCCCAGAGGGGGGAAATGTAATTGCAGAAGGACCACTCTGAGAACTTGGTCTCCCACTGCAGATCTAGTTAGGTGTTGGTGATCGGTGTCCATGAGTGTAAGCAGATCCACATTCATGTCTTTCAGGTGGCTCCTCCTCTCTCATGTTCTGTGCTTCTCCCTGTTGAAGGCTTCCAGCCACACTGTGGAGCTAAATGATATGTTTGGCCAGATTCAGTCACCTGGCTATCCTGACTCCTATCCCAGCGACTCAGAGGTGACTTGGAATATCACTGTCCCAGAAGGGTTTCGGATCAAGCTTTACTTCATGCACTTCAACTTGGAATCATCTTACCTTTGCGAATATGACTACGTGAAGGTGAGACCCCACTGTTTCCTAACTGAGCCAGGCTCTCTGCTAGGAGTCCAGAAAGTCTGGAATTGGACATTATCCTTACTTACCCTTGTAGGCTTATGTTCAGAGGGCTCGATGTGATGAATGAAGACCAGGAGTGGTATGCCAAGTTCAAGCTGAGTAAATAGAACTAGAAAAGACAATAGGAGAAACTGGGACTGGTGGTGGGTGCCTCAATCAAATGCAACATCTTTTTTCTTTCTGTTCTCAGGACTAGTAGTATTAGCTCAGTGGTACAGCACTTGCTTCGCATACCTGAGGTCTGAGTTTGATACTTAGCATGGGAAAAAAAATTCTTTCTGTCCTCAAAGTTTGTAATGACTCTATTAGCTTTTGTTTGAAGGTGCCAGAGACCCCAGAGTAATCTGTATTCAAACAGAAATAGTGCCACAAGTATGCCCAAAACTGATATATTAGAAAGCACTGCCCAAATCTCCAAATAATAATCAAGAGTCTGGGAAATGTTGGATATCCAATAATTGACAGTTGGAGGGAAGGACTGGATGTGATTCTGAAAGGCCTTAAATATAACACTAAGGAGTTCATATTTTATCAGCAAAGTTCATGTGGAGGAAGGAAAATTCACTATCTGAAGGATGTGTAGAGAATATGGTGGGGGAGAGCAAGAGACTATTACAACATACAACAATATTCCCTTAGATTTAGGGAAAACCCACAAAAAATGCTATGGGGGAGAAGCTGTTCTCATTTTAAAGCGGGGCTGAGAATAATCAGAGAATTCTGAGAGCAAGTTTATTAAGGTTGCACCTACTTCAGAAAGATGTAGAGAGCCAAGAGCCTACTTTCTAAGCTCTCTCTGGCTTCCTGGAAGATGTTCTCATCAAATAAATCCAGAGCTGCCCTTGTATATCTTTAATATTAATATAGTCTCACTTTCCAGTAATTCAGAAAGAGTTAAACCTGTGTTAACCAGAGTATCTGATCAAAAGCAAAGTAGTAAGTGTTATAAAAATGCTTTTTACCCTTTTAATTTCATTTAAACTGTACAACAGGCCTATAAGACAGGAATAGCTTTCTCACTTCACAGCAAAAGAGTAAACCTGAGAAAGTTAAGAAACTCACCCAACGCTGTACAGCTGGGAGGTAGTAGATCAAGGTCCCAAATGTATATCTTGTGGATTTGAATCTCATGTTCATTGGCCACACCAAACAGCTCTCAACCTATGGGCCACTGAGCCTTAAAGCTCACAAGGACAAAGAAAGGGAGGGCCTATGAAGAGGGGCTGTGGTCCCCGGCCCTGCTTCTGCTAATTTTATGTGAAGTGTGATGCCAATGAATGTGTTGGGTCCACATGAAATAGCCATGGTGCTATTCATGTGGTGCGCCATGACAGAGTTGCTCGATTTCAGCTGCATTGACATTTTGAAACACATAAAACTTTGCTGATGAAAGCTGTCTTAAACGTTGTAAAAATTGTAGCAGCATGGCTTGGTTCTACTTCTTAAATGCCAGTGGCATCTCTCTTCCAGTTGTGATAATTGAAAAAGTCTCCAAACATTGGCAATATCCCAGAACCACTGGTGTATGAGGTGCTGCCCTTCTGTGAATGCTCTGTGCTAGGGATTATGGGACTATGAGGATGCACAAGACTCAGTGCTGTAAAAGATAGATGAGCATGGTCTCTGAGAGTTGCAAAGGTACCGTCTACTTGAGGCAATTCATGGATGAAACTTGATTCCTTTGGAAAGGGGGGTTAACGTGGGATAGTGGATCTGCATAGTTGACTCCTGTGGAAATCTATCCTAGCATCAGCATTAGCCCCTGGGCTGATGTTCTGGCATCCAAGGGGCCTGAGTGGGCCTCCCTTCAGAGGATGCCACCATCACAAGGAGACAGGGTCCTGTGCCCTTGTCCACATGTGCCCAGCAGAGTTTCCCTCCAAAAGACAAAAACTCTTGAGGCTGCAGGCCTTCTGAAGACTCATCTAGTCACAAGTGATTGCTGTTATTGTTTTTTACATAATTTCTCCCTAGTGAACATGTTCTCACAATCCTTCAGTTAGGTCCAACAGAGAAAAGAGATAGGAGCTGCTCAGGTTAAAGGTGACCCTGAGGCTCCTTCTGCTTGCTCACCTCCCTCGGTCATCACTCTCTAGTATCTTGAGGCATTGTGGCTCGAATTTTGCCACTCTGGTCAAGTTCCCACAGGATGAAAGAGGAGATTGAAGGCCAAAGATCAAGGACAGGCCTAGCAGTCTGCTCCAGAACTCCCAAACCCAGAAGCCTCACACACACAGTTGAAACCTGTGCACTTTTGATAATTACCTTCCCAAACTCAGCCCACAGATATGTGCTTTTTCTGGCTCAGAATAAGAGAGATGTTCTTCTCTTTCCATCTGAACAAAGGCATAAGCGTGACATGTGACTCCAGGCTAAGTCAACCCTGCTCTCCAAAATCGTGTTTTATCATCTGTTCAGTGAGAAGGTAGGCTGAGCTGATCCTTCACGTTCCTTAAATTCCAGAATTCTAATCCCGGCCCTTCTTGACAAAATTTTCCAGATAACCCCACCAAACCCTTATTATCCTAGTTAAAATGGTCCCAGAAAATGTGAATAATGTGCTTATAACAACCAATTCTCAAAGTTTCATGGCTCGAGGCCCTCCAAGCCTGCAGTCTACCATAGATGCCTTGGTGACTTATTACTTGAGTAAAGCTTGTAAACAAATCATGCCACCACTGTCCTTTACCAAGAAACTTTAATATCACTGACTTCACTTTGGCAGGATAACATCTCTTGTTCTGAAGCCTTTTCACTCCATGACTGAATTCCCCTGGCAGCCAAGGTGTGGGTTTAAAGTAACTTCCATATCACAGAAGCCCTTACCAGCCCAGACCAAGCCCATAAATTGCTCTCTCAACCCAGGCCCACCAGGGTGCCAGTGCACATCAGTGGCTTGAAGAATAGCAGGACCCCAAGGCAGTGGACCCCATGCTCGTATTTACTAGAATTCCTCTATGATCTGATTTCCTGCAGTCCTTGGTCTTCAAGGCACATGCACATCTGTGTAGCAGCATCTGCTTCTGTGGAATGTGGCTTCAACTGTGGATTCCTGCAGTGCACAGATGAGGCATGTGAACTACATCTGGTTGATGCTACAAGCAAACGGTACAGCACACTCATGGTCAGAGAGTAGGGAAGACTAGGTTCTCGTTGTCATTCTATACTAAATAATCTTAGGCAAAGAACTCCTTCTAGAAGGGACTCTGTTTCTTCCTCTGTCAAATACAGGGTCTGTAGATTGATGGTTGATAACAGGGGAAACCAAACCCTCCCACTGTCCCCCGCACAGGAAGAAGTAAGCAGTGGGTGAAGCTTCATCTGTATTTATAGCTGCTCCCCACTGCTTGAATTACTGCCTGAGCTCCAGCTCCTGTCAGATGAGCTGTGACATTCGATTCTCATAGGACCACGAACCCTACTGTGAACTATGCAGGCTAGGGATCTAGGTTGCATGCTCCTTTGAATCATCCTGAAACTACCAACCACCACCCTCTATCCCCTGTCTGGGGGAAACATTGCCTTCCATGAAACCAATCCCCAGTGCCTAAACGGTTAGGGACAACTGGGTCCATCTAACCCTAATATTCTGTGCATCTGAGACCCTAGAAGTCCAGGAAGAACTCCATCATCAGCATGGCCAAAGCCCAGAGAAGCCACTTCATTGGCAAACGTCACACTGGGACATCTCAAGACTCTCAATCTTTTCCATAAATTAAACTGTAGAGCCTTCCCAAGTTGTAATACAAGGCAAAGATTGCCAATAGTCAAACCCACTCTTAAAAATTCTTTAAGTATCGTAAAATACTGTCTTTTGGTGTGTCCAGCAGAGACACTATTTTTCCAGAAATACAACAACTTACAGTTTCTTTGTTTGAACATAGGTGAAGTGATTGACTTAGAAAGGAGCCATGGGGGTAAATTACAGAAGCAGGTATAATTAATTAGAAACTAGAACCCCAAGAGAGCAGCACATTCACACACCCTATTTTCAAGTTCACTTCATGACATCTGCTCATTGACAAAGAAGGCATGAGCCACCTGCATTCAGTTTTTATTCTCTCTCCTATTGTGTGCAAAAGATTAAATTGCGCCTGTTGAATGTTCATATCATACAATGCCACTATTCTGTTAACCCTGTGTCTTTGATGTACCCAATATTTCCTCTATCCTTTCCACTGTGGATCCCTTCATTTTAATTCTTATCTGTCTCAATCTACTGCAGAAACCTCCTAAATGTCTACCAGATATCAGTCTTATACATTGCTCTATGTATACATTGCTTGCATTGTGTCACTCTCCAAATCTTTCCATGACTGCCCATTTCCTAAAGAATAAAGGCCAAGAATCCTACTGAAAAACTGTCATAAGCTGAACATTGTACCAAAACTGGGCCCACAAAGGTGAGTAAGATGTCCTGTCCCCTAAGAATTCACAATTTCATAGTATGTAATGAGACAATTGCATATTTAATAAATCAAGGACAAAGTAAGGCAATATATACACTTGAGAGTGGTCATTTCTGCATTGCCAGGAAAGGTGATGTTTGCGATGAGCCTTGAAGGATAAGTAAGAACTCAATAGTGTAGTCCCTTAGATGGGATGTCTCATCAGAGATACCATGGTGTGCAAGCCAAAAAGTATAAAATGATGCACAATGAGAGAATAGTCAGGATTGGCAAGGTTTAGGGAGATGGAAGAAAAAAGCCTAATAAGATCATCTGGGAAAGGACTGAGAAGATGTTTGGAAAATTTAGGTTTAAGATGTGCACCCAAAGTCATCAACAAGTGATCAACAGGTTGAATGAACTCTGCAGATAAATTCTGCTGGTTAGCCTTAGCATTGCATCATTCTATATTTTGAAAAAATAACAAGCAAAATGAATTAATTCAGCATAACACTTGTGATCTCACACAAGAATCTACAGATCCAAATTTTATTA